TGAAAAAACTCCCGAATATGCTGATGACCAAAAAGACTACACTACCTCAAAATTCTTTAGCACCCTATAACAAACTAAGAGGAATTAGAGGAATGGGAGTCATGTTTAACGGTTCCTTGGGAAGAGTCGAAACTAAATGAGAATGCAGTGCCTCGAGTATCGTTCCGGAACAGTCGTCGGGGAGAATGAAGCGCAAAAGTTTGAAATGTGTCTCGCAACTCTTCCATTAAAGACGGCTGAAATAGCTAGTTTTAGAGCCTCTGAATAACAACATACAAAGACTGAAAACTTATAGAAAATCTAAAGCTTAGACTTGTAACTAAATCCCCCGAAAAACTTTAAGTCAATTTGAACTTTTTTCAACTATATCTTTCTTCGGCCCTCCTGCACTTTAGAGCACTCATTACAGAAATTCATTAACAGGTGATGAACTTCCCTTAAAACTTACGTCTTCATCTGTATCTGGCTGCAAGCTTAACCTTCGAAATCCTTTGCCCTGAAGAACGTCTATGATTTTTTTACAGATCTTTTCAAACTGAACGTCAGGTAACGTGGCTTCTTCATCTATAACCCGTAAAGCAGACTCCTCAGTAGCAGTTTCGAAAAACCGGAAAGCTGTAAAAAAACCTCCTAAGTACAACGAAGCATCGTAAAATCTGAAAGCAGAAAGTAGAAAACTGACTATAGGCCGTTAGGCAACCACAGAGTTCCAAAGCTGCTGGATTAAAATTTGCTGCCGGTTTCGCACCTGAAAATAAGATGTGCAGAGAACAAACACTTTTAGCGTAGTGATTACAACCAATTTGAATAAAAAATTTCAATTAGAAACACATGTGGCCAAGCAGAAGTAATAAGAAATACCTCGTCAAAGTTCTTTTTTTACAGCTTTAAGATATTATGACCAAAAAGTGGACTTATTCACATACCAACAACAGAGTTGCGAGGCATTATGTAAGCTGTGACGTACTGAGGAAGTTTCTGTTCTGTATCCTCACTCCAAACGTCACCACTTGTCCTCAATGGTTGAGCTCTCGAAAATACAACGTTGTGTGCAATCTGTGCCTCACTGAGATAATCCAGAGTTTGAGTTATCTTCCTGTAAAACTTCTACCAATAGTTAAGAGTGATAAATAAACTTAATGTTCAGTAGGAGTTCAATTATGAAAACAAGAGAGACCTGACAAAGTCATCAAACATTTCCGGTGAAGTAAGCTGGAACACAATAGTATGGATAAACCAATCAGGGCGTTTTATGATATACATATCTTCCGCTACTTCTTCACACTTCTGCAAGCTAAGAGCATTAAACTGTGATTTACAGGAGCAAAAAAAAGCTGAGTTAGGCCTGCAGTTTAGGTACACAAAAACTAATGAAATGTTGTAGAATCGAAGAAAGACAAGGAAAAAATTTTTTTTGGACCTTTAAAAGCTAGCGCTGCCTCCACACAAAACTGGAAAATTTTTCATCGAACGAAAGCCAACTGATTAAACTAAATGAGGGCAATCAAAGCCAAAAAGAAAATTAGCAGCAAATTAATTTCAAAAGTCTAATTCATTTTGAAAACGACTGAGCACTAAAAAAACTAACTCTGTTTATCAAATCCGAATCATATGGCCAGAACAAGGCGTGTAAATGTAAATGGTTTACAGATGCCTGGGCAAGCAGACTATTAAACAGTATGTGGAATGTGTCATCATCGACTAACAGCATCATATCCGTTGCCATCCGAACACCAGTTTCCGTCATGACCTTAAATAAGCACAACAATTCGCAGGGGATAAAGAGATTGCGCGTATTATCCATCAATTATAAACAAGTATATTTTGGGCCTAAACTTAAAATTGGAGATTTCAAAAATGTACTTGTGGCTGACGACGATTAATAGAGGGGATTACTAAAGAATGCCCTCTTTCCAAGGGGGAATTGTTGATGGCCAGGACATGTTGGTCTAACGGATCACTACTGCACGGTTTATCTCTACACCGGAGATACATCATGATCTTAATAACAATTGTAAAAGGATTACACGGGATCAAAACTATTTTGGGATGTATAAAAATCAAGAGGCACGACAAAAATCAAACAGTTGCAATCAGTGCCTAGAGGGCAACACCTGAAAATTAATTGAATCACCTCATTTTGCTCAAGTTTAGTGAAATTCCACTTCTTTTCATGGAACGGCTCGCAAACAGCGTGAAATCTCTGCGGCTTCCGTCGTAATTCCCCTCTTTCGACGTTGAGCTAAAATTGGCTGTCAAAGAAAACCAAGATAAGTGATGTGAAAAAAATGAAGAGTTCTGCAAGGAGATACTTCTATAGCAGATACAAGACTTCTATAGATAAATTGTACTTAAACGGATGAGTCCACATTTGAATCCAATAAATTTTACGAAGCACTAGAGACTTCACTACCAAAATTTATAATGAAAAAGTAGAACATTTTAGACAACCAAGTCCAAAATTATTTTTTTACAAACAACTACAAAAAAAACACCTGTATAGAAAGGTTAAAGTCACCAGGTAGAAATTTGTACATACAGTTTAAATCGTATTTGAAAGCTTTCATTGCCTTCGCTGCCTCCCAACGAGCCATCAATAAGTCTTTTAGCTAAATCAATTTTCAGGCCTTAGCAATTGGTACCAAACATATATATTTTAAACTTTTACATTTCTCAAGGAAAATCAGATATTGTTGACAAGAATTAATATCTCTGTTTGACTAATTTCAAAACGCAAATCAGACCTTCAACTTTACCACCTTTTCAAAGGAATGACACGGAACAAAGAAACCAAAAAAGTAGAACGGACTCTATTGAAAACACAAAATTAAACCTTCCCACGTTGACGTTTTCCGTCCACGACATCCTCACCTCGGACTGCTCGCAAATCGTATATAAAATCTGACGTATCATAGTTGAAAACTGGTGTAGACTTAGCTTCTATGCCAATGGGTAACTGAAATGAAATCTGTACAGTATAAACGACTGAAGAAATATCAAAATCTTAAAGAACACAATCCTTTCACTGAAAGGTAACAAATTTTATAAACTCCAAATAACATAGTTAAATTAAAAAAAAAAAAAAACGACGAAAAAAGTGGATGAGTAATTCCGCAACAAATGTCAACTTAATCAAACTCAAAAAAGTTTTAAATTAGTATCTTTTAACGAGACTAAAAAAAAACCATAAGCAGTGAAATATTAAAAATCATGACAAATACAGCGTTCAAAAAATTGCTCGACAGTAATTTACGCCGATCTCTTCAGCTCTCTCTTTCTAGCACATACCTATCAGGCTATTCATCGTCAAGCTTAAAATGTGTAATGACTAAACAGTACCTGAATGGAAGACTGAGAACGTTTACTGCCGGGCGTACCCAGCATAACAATTTTCCTCATTTTGTATCACAGGATCAACACTACAGATACGAAGAATATAAGCATCAAATTGACCGATTAAAGAAGCTTCATAAAAATTCAGCGCATAATCGTTGCCTGCTTCTACTGCCGCTATCTAATTACACTTTAGCTGAATGGCTTCCTAAAATAAGGAAGAAAAAAACAATAAAGCGAAAAATAGAGAAAAGGATAAAAACACGTGGTTTTACAGGTCAAAAAATCAAATCACCTAAACAGGAAGCTGCTTTAAAAACCTTAAACTTGCTAGAACAAAAAAAACAGAAAAAAAATAGGGGTAAAGCATTAATCATTCGAATTGGCAAAAATGGTTAGCCACTTTCAGTAGAGCCATCATTAAAGCATGTACAGAGGCAGAGAGGTTGAAAGTAGTTTACCAGATCAACACCAAACAAAAAAGCGGACACAACAACGTCACATTACGACGTACACATACATACACACACACACACACACACAC